ACAGTTATCAGAAACAGAACGCCAATGGACGTGTCTCGTGGTATTGTTCACGCAGATTGAAGGGTTGTAGAGCGTCCGCTATTAGTATTGGAGACAGGGCGTATGCGTACAAACCTCACGACCATCCTCCACCAAAACGTCAAGACAGTACAGTAGACATTAAGCCATTACAGAGTTCATATTTATTCTTTGGCGTTTAATATAACGGTATCAGACGAGAAAAGATACAGTTCTAAGATTTTTTTAAAAGCGGGTGCACACACTCGACTAAACTTTCGGACAACTGTTGTTCGATTGTCGATTGTTTTCCTTCTAGTTCAACCGTTTAGGTGTACAACTAGAAAGTAGTGCGCACACTATAAGCTTAAAGGAATCAAAGCGAGACTAAACAGTTATACGATATTTTAGTTTTAGATGTGCGCTCGCTCTTAGAAGTAACTGTTATATGTATGTGGCGATTTGTATTGTAAGATTCAAACTTAATGATGGCTCGCAGTTAGCTACAAACGCATCTCAAGTGCCAGATAGGCCCACTGCGGATGCGATTGTAGTTTGTCCCTTTCTTATGTCTACGATACAAGTGTATCTGATACCTATAATTACGCAGCCTCTCTTGTAAAATTGTGAGCTGACCTAAAGTTTGAATATAACACTATAATAGTATTATTAGTACAATACGTAAATGTAACGCATTTAATTATTTTAGAAATAAGTAATTCTGAATTAGAATGTTATGCAGATTGGTAGAATATATCGTGTTTCTAGGAATAGCTGTATTTGATGTAAATGTGAAAGTATATCATACCTATCTAAACCAGATTCTCAACCACTGTGCCGCAGCACTTTTGTGTGCCGCCAAATTTCAAAGGTGTCGCCAAATTTTGCATATTTTTGTCATATGTTATTTATGCCGTGCGTTGTGGTAATTAAATAGTTTTTATCTTTTTCTTTGTATGCCGCCAAATTTTAAAATCGTTAAATCTATATCTATACTTCTATACTATTATAATAAAGCGTA